GAAAAGTCTGCCCTTACCAGCCAGTATTTCAGGGAATTTCTTTTGGAGGCATTGTCATCTGGCCTGTGGCTTGATTTTTGGAGTGTTAAATAGTTTCCATGCTCTAGGAATGTGTACCTGGGGTTTTGAAAATTCTACCAGTTATGCTACAAAATGTCTAATGCTGTTCACCTCTCTGATGCTTTCAGTAAAGTCTCAGAGAACTTTTGCTGAAAACTGTTTCTGCTGGTGATTCTTCTGCTAGGAGAAAGATCTTGTATTCAAATATTGTCTGTTCTGGAAGAAGTTGAATAGTTATGTATCAACAGTGCAAAACGTCACTTACCTATCTTCATTTTTGTTCTTATTATCCAGGTGAAAAGGATTCAATGATTTTTGACTGTACTGAATGTTATGATCCTGTTACAAAGCAGTGGACTGCTGTGGCTTCCATGAACCATCCCCGCTGCGGACTAGGAGTGTGCACGTGTTACGGTGCCATCTATGCTTTAGGTAAGTGTTTTGTTTCCCTTGTCTGAAACTAATTTTGAAGAGGTCAGTTAATGGAATTCGTAAGCTGATTGATTGTAAATATTTACTATAAATACTGTAACTTTGTGTTGCAAATCTCAGTGTTGAAAAACAACTGCTCAAATTAACAAGAGTATAACAAATCTTTGTGGATTGATGAATTATTCCTTTGCAGATTCCATGCCGGTTGCTTCAAAATTAATGTGCTCTGGAACAGGGTTCAATTTGTCTAAAACTCAGTTAACACACAACTCTCTGCACACTTTTTCCCATGTTTGCTGTCATTTGCAGGAGGATGGGTTGGTGCGGAGATAGGCAACACAATTGAAAGATTTGATCCTGAAGAGAATAGTTGGGATGTGGTGGGAAGCATGGCTGTGCCCCGCTACTGCTTTGGATGTTGTGAAATGCAAGGTATGTATTGTGAAGCTCAGACCCAGAAAGTGTTCCAAGAGTGACTGTGTTTTCTTGGATGCCGAAACTATATTATTTTTAAATTCTTATCATTGTCTTGTACCATGCTGTCAGTTGTGTGAGCTGATGTATTGCGCTCGTGCCTTGTTGATTTGCCTTTCTTGGTACCATTTTTATTTATACAGAACGCAAAGGCTATGAAGCTCCCTTTGATCCCCTAGAAAGAGGTTTCTAAAGGCTTTGGCATGGTTATCCAACTAACACATTAGCAGTTGACTGTCCTTCCTGGCAGTGCTTTTATTTCTCTTGTGTCATTGTTTGTGGCTATCTGAAGAGTTGACATAGATCACATCAAAACAAATTCATCTGAAGACGTAATGTATAAATGTTTCTTAAGCACTCAATTCAGGCCTGCCCAGCAGTTGCAGGCTTCCAAATTCTTTACCCTGCATTTGCATAATTTGCATAAATTTATGATTGCTTTCATCAGTGCTTCTAGTATTTGAGTTTACTCAACTTTGTTTACTTAAATTGAAATTTTGTATATGTTTTTTCTAGGCAAACAGATAATTTAAAATGGTTTAAGAATCCCAAATGCCAGACTGAAACGGGCATTGTGACAAACATTTTTGATTTTTTTTTTCAGACCCATCTATTATGAATTCTAACATAGGGAAAACTCTTTCTGCAGGTTTGATTTATGTTGTTGGCGGTATCAGCAATGAAGGAGTAGAGTTACGTTCTGTTGAAGTCTATGATCCAATATCTAAACGTTGGTCTGAGCTTCCTCCCATGGGAACACGAAGAGCATATCTTGGTGTAGCTGCTCTCAACAATTATATTTATGCTGTGGGAGGCTGGAATGAATCTCAAGATGCACTTGCCTCTGTAGAAAGATATTCCTTTGAAGAGGTATGGTACAGTCCCTTTCGGAAATTTCTGTTGCATGAACGTTTTGTAAAATGCTAGTGTTAGCCTGTGGAATTGAACGTAGTTCTCATTTCTCATCAAATTGTGTGCTGTTCTCTGTCTTGGAGGCAGAGTGCATCTTGCAGTAGCTGGAGGAATGGTATATGTGTAAATAGTATGTGCTGTGTTCTTTAGTCAGACTTGTGGCATTTAGACTTCTTGTGAAAGTGTTTAAAAGCTTGTGATGCCATTTTAATCCTAATAATCCTCTCAATACCATATATATGTAGCATTAGTGTAACAGTATTTGAGCCTGTAAGGTGCTTACTTAGTAGTCTTGGTGTATGTTTCAGTACTTAAGCTTAAAAAGTTATTCTTACCAGAATTAAGGCCTTACCCTAAAACTGCTTCTTGACTCTTCCACTTTCTCATTAGGAAAAATGGGTTGAAGTTGCATCAATGAAGATACGAAGAGCTGGTGTCTGTGTTGTGGCAGTGAATGGATTTCTCTATGCCTCAGGAGGCCGTGCTCCCAGTCACGATTTTGCTGCTCCAGTAACCTCTGACTCTGTTGAAGTGTATAACCCTCACATGGACAGTTGGACTGAAATCCCCAACATGATCACCAGCCGCTGTGAAGGAGGTGTAGCTGTGCTGTAAAGGGGGGGGGGGGGGGGGGGGGAACTTCCCTAAGGAAGAAGTGAACTTCTACCTCCTTGGAACTTCAGTCTGATTTTTCAGAAACCTCTTCCATCAGCAGTAGTAGTAGTAAACTAGAGAGCTCTTCCAGAGCAAATGGAAACATTAAAACCTTGAAAATAAATTTACTGGCAAAGTTGGTTTCAGGAAGTGCTCTGTAAAGAGTATGAGCTCCTTTTATCACTGGATTAAGCTTGCTGCAAAAAAAAAAGGGGCAAATTAGCCCTGAAGATAACCTGATAAGAGCAGACTGGCTACTTGGTTAGCTTTAGTTGCCCTTTTCTTAGAGAAAAGGGTGTAGAAAGAATGAAGGATGGAGAAGGCTTGGTACTGGCCCCACTAGTGGACATAGGCATTAAGTACGAATAGGGTAACTACTTTCCTGCTACCACACTAGACTTCAGTGAAGTGACTGAGAATTTAATGTTCTGAAAGGTTACTTTCACAGTTGTTGTCATTCCATTAGGCTTTGCTTTTGGTATCGAATTATTTCAGTGATGACAGTAGAGCTGTTCATTAAGCTCTGATTAATATTAAATGGAAATGCTATTCATTAGATGAGCTATTTCGTTTAGGATTTCCTAAATTTTTGTATTAAGAACAAAGGCTCTTGCCCACATTCCTCCCTTTCTTGAATGCGTTTTTATTCTGTGTGACACATGGTGAGACTGGGCACTGGAACAGAGGCTGTTCTATGAGAAGCACGTGTTCATGTTTACCACATTTTGTATCCTGCCTCTTCCAAAGTCAAGTGGACGTAGCTATTTTTGCAATTAAAAGTAGTTGCATCAGTGATGCTATTTGCGTGTTTTGTCTAAAGGATTTTGTTTTGCTTGGAAATTTCATAGAACAATGTTTCTAGCAATTTATAACTATTTTTAGGTTAATCTAATTAACATCTTCCTTGAAGCTGCCTTTTGCACAATATGATTGCAGTGTCTGAACAGCTCTGGTTGACCCAGCGAGGACTCGACAGAGTCTGAAATCAGGCTGCCTGAACTCTGACAGACAACATTATTCTAGAACGTGAAACCACAAGTGGAATGTCACAAAACAGGAAGCCAGTGCTCTGTAGACAAAGAAGCATTCACACCGTGTAGGTCAACATCCTCTGTGTAATATTAACAAATTAACGCATGAATAAAAGCCTCCAAGGTTAGTGTTGTAAGTACCTTAAGAATCTAGGTTTGCATTCCAACATTGGATTGGGAAGACTGCTGCACTAAACCATACTCTAGGATGGAGCATTGTTTCTCTGATCTGTCTGTAGTCTTACATGTGCAATTACTTCAAAAAAATTTTATGTATATTCTCTGCCCTGAAGCTAGTTGCTTTAAACAGATGTTCACAATAAAATCCTTTCCGCTTGAAGTAAGCTGTATCACGGCTGCTGTTATCTAACAGCTCTTGTTTTACTTGGAAAGATGGTTAATAAATGTATTTATTTTTGGACTGAAGCGTTGACACTTGCCTAGTGAAATATCTATATATTTCTCTTCCCAATGTAAAATCCCTAAAGTTTTCTGGAAGTGTGGGTGCCTTGCTAACTATAGTGGTAGTCCTCTCTAGGCTCAAATGCTATGTAGTATTTCTTCAGCTCTCTTCACACTTCATGACCCCTCTTGAACTGATGGATAAATATTACTTTAACTGCATTTTATTTGTTTGGAAATTCTTGGTATGCTTCTAATCCCCTAAACTTCCTGTTTTAGAGTAGCTGGAAGGAACCAGTTATGTGCAGTTACCTTCAGTTTTTGTGATTAGTCAACTGATTCTTCAAACATGACAATGGTCTCTGATACTCATCACCTCTTCCTTTGAATCTGGGGCCAAAAGAGGTTCTTCTCTGGATCCATTCAAACAATTGCTATGGCTGAGGAAAAATGAATAAATTATTTCATTCACAAACTCATTTTTACTTCCTTCATAGTCAGAGACTATGGAGATGCACCACTGTTTCAGGGATAGGATATTGTTAACAGGTCCATCTGAAAGGCTTATGCTTACATACATGTTTCCTCACAAAGATGGAGCCAGAATGCATTTTTGTGGGTTTTTTTTTTTAACTCCTGATTGTTACACAGAATGAACAGATAACAAGTTTAAATAGGTGCTTTGTTCTTTATTGAAAACCTGGAGAATAGTACTTCTGAAGAGAAGTGTGAGGACTACCTAAACTGGTGTTAAGTATCTGTCTGGGTATAATGTTTTGGCTTTCTGCTTGCAGCTCAAAGCCCTTAAGAATACTTAGGATGAAAAGCCTATGGTAAACAAACATATGGAACTTCTTAGGTTTCTTAAGGCAGATAAGGGAAGGAAAGGGTTTGGGGAAAAAAAAAATCTTTCTTTCACAGTATGCCAGGGAAGAAATTACTATATAAATGTGAAGAGATTTTTTTTTTTTTTTTGACCCCTCATGATTTTTGCAGGACAGTTTCTATCTATCCCTACTGTGTTGAAGGTGCAAACTACTTTCATGTCCCATTTTCTCTGTTTCATATCACAGTAGGCAGCACTGAATAGTGCTTTCATTCAGGAATGCAATAGTTCTTTACAGCTATACAGCCATATATAAATGTGGCTTTAAATGCAGGTTTCTTAGGGTTACCTAGCTAAGTCTGAACAGAATCTAGAAAGAGATGGATTGGACATTATTTAGATGAGTCTATGCAGAAAGCTAATTATTTTGTCTCTGATAGTACCTTACAAAATATACAAATGTAAGCTTTCTCTTCTAGCTTTCCATACTTGATCACAACTGCTGGATGAACTACCCAAGATAAATAGTGACCTTTTCTTGTCACTGCACCCCCTCCTTGCTCTTGGCTTGTTGCTAGAAACAAGCAGTGCCCTACCTTGCCTGTCCCGTTACCTGACTACTGCCTCACTGCATTGCCTCATGTCTGTAAAACAGAAATGCTGAACCTGTATCTACATCTCTTCCATTTCCCTAAATAATAAACTATACTGAAGTCAGATGTGTCTTCTCAGGGAACAAGAGGTGCTTCATGTTGCTTTTGTCTTTAGAGCTTCTTCTGAAGACTACCTGCTCCCTCCATCATTTTTGCGAGTCCAGGCTTGTTCTACCCCCAGCAGAGCACTACGTATTACAGTTAAGACTGATACTTCAATAATACAGTTTCTACTAACATTGGACAAACCTCCCTTTCAAATTCCTAGGGCCGTAACATCTCAGTCAAGAGTGAATGAGATGTTACAGATATGGACAGATTCATGCCTGCCTTGGAAAAAAATTACCATTATTTACCCTCCTTCCATGCTAACCTTGCTAAGCTGTTTACTTCCTATACAAGCACCTTGCACATTGCTCCCCACCCAAATCTTAGTACAAATGATTTAACAAATAAATATCTCTTTCTCCTGATCTTATTTTGTGCTCTTCCATCGATCTGTGCTGTTTATTAGCTGGTTCTCTGAAGCAATCATCTTGAGTGTTGCAGTGGCGAGTAGTGACACTACTGCCACCAGTGTTGTCACCACCCTGAGTGCCTTAAACCAAGCAGGGTAAGTAGGAAGAAGGCCCAGGTCATAATGCAGCGCTATCCCTAAACCCATGACAAGCAGTACTGCACCATGGGTGACATTTTCAAAAAGGAAGACCTGCCAGGCAAACAAAGGGGGAACGACACTGTTGGCCAGGTTCAGCCAGTCGGGCTTGGCGGGACTGTTCTCTGGGATAGCAAATCCCCACTTGATTCCTCCTAGGAAGGAAACGACGATAGCACCGTACGTAATCTGAGCAAATGCCAGCTCGGGGTAGTAGGTCCCTTGGACAGCCATTGCCAGCGGCACAGAAACAAATGGAATTAGCCCTGCAAGGCTCAAGTAAAGGGCTGGCTTTGGAGAATCCTTTATCGAAGCCAGGCGGTACCGCAGCGGGTCCAGGTCTTGGTTCTCGGGTTCTTGGTTCTTTTTTTTCTTTAGGAGGGGGATCGATGTGTGAAATGCCTGGAGCTTAGCTGCATATATCGATGTTCGGTTGAAGCTTGAAGATCTTGAAAGAAGAGAAACATCTCTGTGCAGATGGAAGATGAGAGGAAAAGAGCAACTTGTCTTATTCTTCCCAAAGTGCAGCAGTCTGGAACCAGTTAACTTCTGGAGCTGCAACTATAAAACTTGTTCTCAATGCTTTGCAATGAAGGCTTTTTACCCCACAGTTACCTCACTTACACAGGAAAATTAGTACCAAGTAGTTTTCCAGAGCAAGATTCCGTCACAGGTGCCCTTCCCCTCAGTTTTCAGATGTTTTTCACCAGTTAACTGGTTGGCTTTCACGTAATCTGATGAACAGCAGCTAAGTGGTTTGAGTGAATGAGGAGATCCAAAAGATACGTATATCCACCTATTTGTCCACCCAAACATCCTCTAGACTTTAAGTTTGAAGTACCAATCCTTTTCAGAAACCCTTGACAGAAAGATATCATATAATTACAGAAATAGTACAAGTGTCAACCCAAAAACTAGCTACTATCCTCTCACTGCTAAACAAAATCAAAGAAGATAGCAGCTGGGGAAAGCACTTTTGTCACTAAAACTTGGCTTTTATAGAAGAAATGTCCTACTTTTAGGTAAATGCTGCTGAAAAATCAGGAGTTTTCTCAGAAAAGCTCATTGTGATAAAAGCATGCTTTAACTTAACCTGCAAGTCACTTTTTTTTTTCTTATCAATGCTTCACTTGGATCTTTTACTGTTCTATTTTAAAGAAAAGGCAAAAATGCTTCAGGAACTTACCTTGAAAGGCGGCTTGAAGCAGCACCGTTGCACAAGTTGGAACATACTTGCTTTACCAAAGCTCTAAAACAAAAACAAGAGAAAGTCTGCAAGTGATGAATAGTCTTGATATCTTTACCCCTGGTAACACCTTGTATGCCTAAACATTTTGTAAGATCCATTATAAACTTAAGGGGAAATATTTTACGTACTCTACCCTTATCTACCAGCCGCAGGACGTTTTGCCCTGTGACCTGAAGTCACTCGCGTGCAGACCGTTACCAGAGCGGTTTCCAGTTAGGGAACCCACCCAGGCGGTCGCTGCCCGCTCCGCATACCCGGTACACGGGGCCGCGTGGGGCTGAGGGGAGCGGAGGGCCCCGTTCACCCGGCGCAGGAGCCGCCGCCGCGCCTGGACCCGAGCTACCCGTCAAGGGCAAAAGCGGAGCGGGGGGAGCGGCCGGGCCGGGCCGGGCGGCGGGGGAAGCCCCAACGTACGCGAGGGCCGCAGCGGTTCCCACGGTACCCACCGGCCCCGCGCTGCCCCGCCGCCCTGCTGCCTCCTCGCCGCCGCAGCTTCCGCTTCGCGCGAGGCGGCACCGGCGCAGGGCGAGGAAGGTCCGGGCGGAAACAAGCGCCGGTAATTGCGTTCCGGCGTGTCCCCCGCCAAAGCCAGACCCCATCCCGAGAGCCCGGCATCCGGAGTGCTTAAAAAGTGGGGATCACGGGGTCAAAAATGGGATTCTCCACCGCGGGAGGGGGCAGGCTGGCACCCGCGTCCTTCCCACCGCCGCAGCTCGGCTGGTGAAGGACAGGCCTCGTCGTACGGGGAAGCTGTTCAGGCGAGAAGGGGCCTGCGGCCAGCAGACCTGCTCCTGGGCCCCCCGCTTCTCGCCGGGGTTGCTGCTCCGGCGAAGGGACCTAGCGCCCGCCGCCCCCCTTGATCTCTTCGCCGCAGGAGAGCGTCGGGAGCAGTGGTCTGGGGCCGGACTACAAGTCCCAGCATGCATTACGGCGCGAGGGCGCCCTGCGCCGCGGGAGTAGCCGCAAGGCCTCCTGGGGTTCGTAGTCTGCGGCGCCGCCGCTGTTCCGATTGGCAGGGGCGCCGCGCGCGCTCCCGGCGCCTCGAGCGCGCGCCCCTCTCCCGAAGGGGGGAGGAGGGTCTCCGCGTGGCCGCCGCCCGAGCCGCCAGGTGGGCGTGTCCCTTCCGCCTCGGCGGCCCCTCCCGCCGCGCGCGCAGGCCCCGCCCCCTCCGGCCCCCGGCCGGGCAGGGCCGGGCAGCCATTTTGGGCAGAGCTTTGTTATGGTTGTGGGGCCGCGGGAGGCAGCGCGAGGGGCCTGGCCGGTGAGTGCGGCTCCC